TTTGGGTGTACAGTGGCTGTCAGCACTAACTGCTGCACCACAGATGCTCTGGATGAAGTTTGGACCCCCTTATCCCCTCCCTTATCTACACCTCTGGTTCATTGTACCAAATAAAGTATTCCTGTGCCCATCTGAGCACATTTCAAGCTTTGCTGGTGAGACTGTCATTGGAAGAATTCACTCACAACATACCTTGCATTAAAGGTAAAATAGTGACAGTATTTATATTGGATTAAAAAAAAAATCTTTAAATAGGGTCCCTCAAAGTGGAACAGCAAATCAAACAGCTAAATACACAGATTAAATACATAAAAATAGAATCAGTTTTACCTGCTACCTTATTTGTATTTCTGCCCATCCAGCCCTGAGATTAAAACAGCTCTGCCCCATAACCCTGTCTGGCAGGACAGATGATCTCTGTTGCAGTTAAGGAACACCTATAGATCTTGTCCCTCCCCTAGTCTAAGAGATTACAGTGAAAAAAAAAAAAGCTAACTAATGAGCTAATTTTTCTAGCACTCTTGCAATCATTCCTCCTATCAGCATGACGTTGTTAGCGCATGACCAAATCAGCACAGCTGACTGGTTCCTTGTGCTGCTTCTCTGTCACTCTCTGAGCTCTACTGTACAGGCACTAACAAGCTGCTGGTACCAAGTCACATTTAGGTACTAACACTGCTTAAATTTAAAATATAAACTGTATTTATGTTTGTATTAAAAGATAAAGAGCTGCATTAAGTTTTGTAGTTGACAGGATTTCAAGTTTAACCCTGTATTTTATCCGTATCTATAGCTTCCTTGTTAAAGGACTGGATGATTGTTCAGTTCATGTTTCTTAAACAGAGCATTTCAATGCAATCCCCTATTTATATCTGCATTTAATTTCAAAATGATGAAAAGAACAACCGCAGGAGTGTCTGGCAGAATTCTATATAGGCATGCTGATATATAATGTAGGTTATTGTGCATTTTTTTTTCCTTTAAAGATAAGCACATTTGTTAAAACACATGTAGGCCTTTAGGAACAAAATATGTTTACTACTTTAGGTGATTCCAGACCCAGTTTCTATTTTTTAAATCATTTAATGCTTGGTAGAAGAAAAAAGTCAAAAATAGTAACATACAGATACATAGTTGTTATCTAACAAGGAATATTAGGCTCCACAAGCACACAACAAATATTGACATATTACTGTTGGAATCCACATTTGGGCAGTTTTTATAAGTATACGGCTTCCATTTAGTTTTAGAAACTTAGTGGATAGTATCTACATTGTGAGAACTCATTGAGTTGAGAGTGGTTTCTTGTGAGAACTAGACATGTGTGTTTTGTTTTCATTAGGATTAGTTTTTTTGGACAAAAATATTATTTTTGGAGATCTGGATGTATCTGTCTGAATGGACATAGTAATGAATGTCAACGAAATCTGAAAAAAAAAAGTTATAACAAAACTGAATTTGTTTAATTTTATTTGGATTAATTGTGAATAGCTGGTTGTTAAGGAGCAGGTGGCTGCAGTGTCCTTAGCAAATATGACTCTTTTTTTTTTTTTAAATAGCATGTGGGTCCCCCCAATCCATATCAGGCCCTTTAGGTCTGGTAGGAATTTTGAAGGGAACCCCAAGCCAAAATAAAAAAAAAAATGGTGTGGATCCCCCCCAAACTCCATACCAGACACTTATCCAAGCATGCAGCCTGGCAGAACAGAAAAAGGGAGGTACGAATGAGCGCCCCCCTCCTGAACCATAGCAGGCCACATGCCCTCATCATGGGGGCTGATCTGAGGGAGAGGGCTCTCCTCCCCAAAACACCTTGTCCCCATGTTGATGAGGACAAGGGCCCCTTCTACAACCTTGCCTTGGCCTTGTGGTTGTGGGGGTGCAGGGAGGGACTAATCAGAATCTGGAAGCCCCCTTTAACAAGGGGGGTCCCAGACCCTGGCTCCCACCTATGTGAAGGAGTAGGGGATACATAGTACCCCTAGTCATTCACTGAAAAAATGTCAAAAGTAAGTAAAAACTGTTTTTGACAAGTCCTTTATTAAAATAACTACATAAAAGCATGTCCCCACTGTAAATCTGGTGTTAAGCACGTTGAATGCAAAACTGCATTAACAAAAACCCACCAGTCGGCGAACACAGCTGGTCCTGTCGACGTCGAGAGATACTTGCTGAATGACATCTACTTGCAGGTTAGCAAACATGGGGGTGAGGAGTCACCAGGTGACCAAACCCTCAGGATGTCACTTAGAGACCTCGTCCATGAGGTCATAGGGTGCGTGTTCATCTGTTGATGTCACCGATGTCACCACAGATGCTTGATTGGATTGAGATTTGGATCATTTGGAGGTCAAGTCAAGATCTTGAACACATTGTTGGGTTCCTCAAACCTTTCTTGAACCATTTTTGCAGTTTGGCAATGAGCATTACCCTGCCATGCATTAATGCCATTTCCATGAAAGGGTATACTTGGTCAGCAACAATGTTTATGTAGGTGAGACATGTCCAGTAACATCCACATGACTGACAGACCCAAGGTTTTCCAGCAGAACATTGCCCAAAACATCACATTGATGCCTCCAGCTTGCCTTCTTCCCATAGTGCATCTTGGTGCCATGTCATCCCCAGGTATATGACTCATAAGCATCCAGACATCTACATTGTGTAAAGAAAAATGTGATTCATCAGACCAGGCCACCTTCTTCTATTGCCCAATGGTATGGTTCTGATGCTCACACACCCATTGTAGGTGTTTTTGGCTGTGAACACAGGTTAGAATGGGCACCTTGACTGGTCTGTGGCTCCACAGCTCCATACACAACAAACTGTAATGCACGTAGCTTCTGCTCTCAACACATCACCTTCAGGAACAACATGTTTACTTGCCGACGAATTTATACCACAGACTTTCAGGTGCCATTGTAACAAAATAACCAATGTTATTAATTTACCCTGTCAGTGGTCATTAAGGTATGGCTTATAGGTATTTATATATAGTAACCTGTGACATTGAGATGCATAAGTGGTATATGGATCATCGCATGGTGCAAAAAGGATGTTGTGACCCAGTTTCTAGTTTTATGTTCTCTAGTACTTGGTGGGCAATTTGCTTACTTTTTGTACTATAGCATTCCAAGTGAATAAGGATGAATTACAAACAGGAAATGTTACATTGTTCATAGGTCAATAGAATATTGCACTTAAAAAAAAAAAGAAAATGCATTTAGACCTCTGGCATTCATCACACAAGATTGCAGGGATCTGAACTTGTCTAAGATCTCATTACATGTATAAAGAACTCTTAAGCTGGAGCCTTAAATTGAATCACAGCCTACAATAAACCTACACATGCCCTGGAACAATTTGAAGCTGCTAACTCTACAGGCATTCAAGTGCAGTGTATCAAACACTCTTTTGTATGATTACCATCATTTTTATTGATCTGTGTTTTCCAGCTACAGAAGAATGCAGCAGTTATGTCTGGATGTCCCCTTTATTGATGATGGAATTTAGATCCTGTGATATCACGTCAAAGCTCATATATGAAATTTTTATAACAATAAAGATGAGGTTGACTTGAGATAACAGTTTAATTGTATGTTGAGAACAGTCATTAGGGTCCCTTATTGGAGATGTTAGTCTTTATGGAACAGGCATTTTGCTTTTACAGAACACTAAAGAGTAATTCCAGGCAACAAGCGAATGCAGCCAGTGAGCTGTAGATCATATCCAGCAAACAACAAGAATCCAGTGAGCACTACATTAACCTCCCTAGCGGTCTGATTATGTCCATATTTCTGTGCTCAAAGCTGTACATTTTTTTGCATGGAAATATGTATTTTTTTTTTGTAGGCCTGTAATTTTTAGGAATAACTTACTGAAATCTGTCCGAACAAGAGTCTAGTAAACATCCCGGGTCTGTTAAACTTTGAAACACGAAATCATAATTTATAATTTAATAAATAATCATAAACAATAATAATATAATAATAATAAATTTAATTCAATAATGTAATCAAACCAAATATAGCGCCAAGTTCGCACATCACTGAGCAAAGTCGCAAAATCGTTTTCAGTGTCTGATGACAAATTTCCCCACAAATCATTATCACTCAATTCTGCAAGTAGTTCTAATTTACTATCGCTGTTCTCTAGCTGGTCTAAAACCAATTTTGACCTAAAGCAGCGGTTCTCAACCTGGGGGTCGCGACCCCTTTGGGGGTCGAACGACACTTTCCCAGGGGTCGCCTAAGACCATCGGAAAACACATATTTCCGATGGCCTTAGGAAACCGAGACACCGCTCCTTGATCCGTCTGCAGGTGTGGGCGGGATGACATACCGTCTCTGTCATCTGGACACACCCCCGGGATCAATCCTTCCTCGTCGGTGATTGGCCGCCGGAACTGTAGCTCAAGAGAGGCACACAGGCGGCCAATCACCGGCGAGGAGGTGGAGCTTGGAAAGGAGGAGCCGAGCGGCACCGCGAAGCACGAGCGAGTGAAGAGGAGGAAAGCGGCCGGAGAAGGAAGCCATCTGACTGGTAAGTGTTTGAACCATGGGAGAGGGAGGGAGCGAGCCCAGGCTGGAGCAGGGGTCAGCAAGGTAAGTATCATTGGTGTCAGTGGGAGGAATAGTGCCCAATCATTGGTGTCACTATTACCAATGATGGGGCACTATTCCTCCCCCCACTGACACCAACGATGGGGCACTATTCCTCCCACTGACACCAACGATGGGGCACTATTCCTCCCACTGACACCAACGATGGGGCACTATTCCTCCCACTGACACCAACGATGGGGCACTATTCCTCCCACTGACACCAACGATGGGGCACTATACTTCCCTCTGATACCAACGACGGGGCACTATTCCTCCCACTGACACCAATGTTGGGGCACTATTGCTCCCCCTGATGCCAACGATGGGGCACTATTCCTCCCACTGACACCAATGATGGGGGCACTATTCCTCCCACTGATACCAATGATGGGGCACTATTCCTCCCACTGACACCAATGATGGGGCACTATTCCTCCCACTGACACCAATAATGGGGCCGTATTCCCCCCACTGACACCAATGATGGGGCACTATTCCTCCCACTGACACCAGTGATGGGGCACTATTCCTCCCACTGACACCAATGATGGGGCACTTTTCCTCCCACTGACACCAGTGATGGGACACTATTCCTCCCACTGACACCAGTGATGGGGCACTATTCCTCCCACTGACACCAATGATGGGGCACTATTCCCCCCACTGACACCAATGATGGGGCACTATTCCCCCCCACTGACACCAATGATGGGCACTATTCCCCCCACTGACACCAATGATGGGGCACTATTCCCCCCACTGACACCTATGATGGGGCACTATTCCTCCCATTGACACCAACGATGGGGCACTATTCCTCCCCCCACTGACACCAACGATGGGGCACTATTCCTCCCACTGACACCAACGATGGGGCACTATTCCTCCCACTGACACCAACGATGGGGCACTATTCCTCCCACTGACACCAACGATGGGGCACTATTCCTCCCACTGACACCAACGATGGGGCACTATACTTCCCTCTGATACCAACGATGGGGCACTATTCCTCCCACTGACACCAATGTTGGGGCACTATTGCTCCCCCTGATGCCAGCGATGGGGCACTATTCCTCCCACTGACACCAATGATGGGGGCACTATTCCTCCCACTGATACCAATGATGGGGCACTATTCCTCCCACTGACACCAATGATGGGGCACTATTCCTCCCACTGACACCAATAATGGGGCCGTATTCCCCCCACTGACACCAATGATGGGGCACTATTCCTCCCACTGACACCAGTGATGGGGCACTATTCCTCCCACTGACACCAGTGATGGGGCACTATTCCTCCCACTGACACCAGTGATGGGGCACTTTTCCTCCCACTGACACCAGTGATGGGACACTATTCCTCCCACTGACACCAGTGATGGGACACTATTCCTCCCACTGACACCAGTGATGGGGCACTTTTCCTCCCACTGACACCAGTGATGGGACACTATTCCTCCCACTGACACCAGTGATGGGACACTATTCCTCCTACTGACACCAATGATGGGGCACTATTCCCCCCACTGACACCAATGATGGGGCACTATTCCCCCCACTGACACCAATGATGGGGCACTATTCCCCCCACTGACACCAATGATGGGGCACTATTCCCCCCACTGACACCAATGATGGGGCACTATTCCCCCCACTGACACCAATGATGGGGCACTATTCCCCCCACTGACACCTATGATGGGGCACTATTCCTCCCATTGACACCAACGATGGGGCACTATTCCTCCCCCCACTGACACCAACGATGGGGCACTATTCCTCCCACTGACACCAATGATGGGGCACTATTCCTCCCACTGACACCAATGATGGGGCACTATTCCTACCACTGACACCAATGATGGGGCACTATTCCTACCACTGACACCAATGATGGAGGCACTATTCCTACCACTGATACCAATGATGGGGCACTATTCCTCCCATTGACATCAGTGATGGGGCACTATTCCTCCCACTGATACCAATGATGAGGTACTATTCCTCCCACTGATATCAATGATGGGGCACTATTCCTCTCACTGCAAAATTACAGTTATGAAGTAGCAACGAAAATAATTTTATGGTTGGGGGTCACCACAACATGAGGAACTGTATGAAGGGGTCGCGGCATTAGAAAGGTTGAGAACCACTGACCTAAAGGGATGCTTTTTGGACGCCATGCATATTTCTCAGTTTCCAGGCAGAAAGAACAGTAAAAATGCAGGCAGGGCACAGAACAAAAACACTCGGGACAACATGTACAGTATGTGAAATGGTTTGATACAGTAATGGTTTACTATGTTATTTTAGTGAATTTAGTGAATGCCACTTTTTGTCATTTTCACATTTCCCGCCGTTCCGTCCCCGTACATCCCGACATCGCAAGGAACGGAACCCAGATGACAGATGCCGGCATCCGCCGGATTACATTGCCGGGGACACTGCAGGAGGTACATCACGGGAGCGCAGGACAAGGTAAGTGCAAAACAGATCCCGGAGCAGAGCCACATGGTAAGCCCGAGTGTAGCTCGGGGTTACTGCTTGTGGTACTGAAACTTTACCCCGAACTACACTCGGGAATACCGCCAGGGAGGCTACACCAAGTGGTGCAACAGGAAGAAGGGTAAGCTGCACCCCGGAGGATAGATGAATATAGTGTGTATTTATTGATCCATAGGACACACAAAACACCAGGACATGAATACAGGACTTAACGCCTTTCACAGCAAAAACAGCAAAAAATGGCCTGGTCATGAAGGGGGGGTAATTCCTCTGGAGTGCAAGTGGTTAATTTGTGGAGTGAGTGGGGGCCAGTGGTGGGATTGGCAGAGAGAAGTAGCAGACACTGAACGGTTGGTAAGGTAGAAGGGTCTGGCAGCAGCATTGAAATAATTTGCTTCAGAAGGGGTTCCCTGACAATAATTTCAAGGGTTCCACTGTTTAAAAAAAGGTTGAAAAAGACTGGTTTAGAGGCTGCAAATCAAAATAATATTTTTTTCTATGTATTTTATCTTATCTAACTCCAAATAGCTCAATTTGCTCAGGAGAAAACTACAATACATTTTGCCTTGCCTTTTTTTAAAACTTAGACAATAAAATATTCAAAATCAAGCTGTATTGAAACATAGGGTGTATTTTTTCCTTTGCAGCAAAACTTTTCTATTGCTTGATAAAAAAGCATTGCACACACTGGTATTTCCCTTTGAAACAAACAAAAATATTTACTTACACAATATGCACTCTTGTTAGTACATAAATCTATATTTCAAAACGGCATTGTGAATGGTACATAGAATGTGGTGCGCGGCATCATCTATAAAAGTACAATATCTTTCTGCCCAGTTTTTGTTTGTTTTAAAGATAAGGTATGACATGCCGCCTGCAACACACAGCAAGAGGCAAACAATGAAGATGTAAATCACTTTTATTTATCTGTGCAGAAATGTATAATATGTATAAATATTCCTGAATGTACCTGAACAGAGAGATTCTCTTCATTATCCCTCTGGTTAGGAAGACAGAGGAGGGAGGTGCACTGCTGCTTTAGAATTGCTTTTCTATTAGTCAGCCAATAATGATTAATGAATTGTATGATTCTCTGCCTCTGTGTGCATATATTCAGGAAAAGAAGGAATTGGGCAATTCACCAGTTTGGCAGATTTGTCACCTGATTTGCTCATTGGTATATAGCAGTCAGTGAAACTCATTAGATTTGTTTTTTGAAGGGCTTCTTCAGCGTGCAATTGGGAGGCATTAAAATACATGGTTGAGCTTAATTTTTTAGCAACCCCAAAACTGCCCTTTCTAAGGCCCCTTTCACACAGGCGATCCGAGCAGATCCACCTGTCCGTTTTTCAGGTGGACCTGATCAGATGGTCCATTGCATCCATATGGACAGGCTAGTGCAAACAAATTTGTGTGTATTTACACCCGCCTACCTCTAGGACCGATCCAGTCCGCTACGCAAATGGAAGGGGATCTGTCCTCTTCTAATCAGGTGGATCAGATTGGAGGCTAGTCAGATGTAAACAAATAGTCCATTAACTCCCAGATGTCCATATTGCAGAGTGGGCTCTTTCCATGAAAATGAGCTGACATGGATGGCCTTTAAGCTACAAAGACAGTGGACAGGGGTATTCAGATGCCATGCCATGGACGGGGGAACTCACTTGCCAGGTCATGGCCACAATGCTTTGTGCCCAGAGCTAATTTTATCCCCCTGTCATATTCCCACCCAGATGTGACCCGTTCAAGTGAAAAGGGGGAGTGTGACAACTGTGCGCCATAGGGAAATAAATGCACAAAAGGACCAAACACTTGGTGAACTAATGTAAATGTAATTCACATCCCCACAACACTGTGCTTCTGGCAATCCATTGGAGAAATGGAAAAGAAAACCAAAAGTTATATGCTGCTCACTAGTATCAACAGGGATGTCCACAAGCACAACAACTGTGGATGAAATGAAACTCTACCTTTATTGAGCAAACAAAAAGAAATGAACACAGTCACATGTGAAAATCATGTCACATGCAAACCTCTCTACATTTAAAACATGTGACCCAGCACTTGTTGTGAAAGTGGTCATCAGGGATCACCAGGGGCGGACTGACGATTTGGAAACTCGGGCACTGCCCGAGGGCCTGGGGTCAGTAGGGGGCCCCATGAGATGCCCCTGGTACCTTTTTCATAGGCTTTTTGTGTTTGGGCAAGGACACAGGGGCCCCATGATTCCCTATTGCCCGGGGGGCCCCATGAGTTGTCAGTCCGCCCCTGGGGATCACATACCAGCCGGTGAGGTCCTAAGAGAAATGGGCAACCGCTACAGATGTCCTGTGAGAGTACACAGCTGAGGTCCAATGCTCAGCAGCTGGGGGGGGGGGACACCTAGAAGAAGGCCACTCCGTGTCTATTCTGACCCAGAAGTCATCAGCAGAGCCGTGGGCTGGAAATGATGACGGTTCCATCTCAATAGCTGTGTTAGAGAAGGAGTAGACCCAGGAATGCTTTCTCACCAATGACACGATGCATTTCAAAGCTCCTGCCTTCCTTATCAAATCCCTTGCTGGGTTGATGATGTCACAAGGTTAGCTTGTTTAGCGGCAGGAGGTGGCAGAGCTGTTATTCAACGTAAGGCTGCATCGGGTGCAGACCTCTTTTTTTTTTCAGGTCGGTGGTCGTTCATCATGATTGAGGCTGGATCTACATCAGGGGACAATTTTTAAAAAAAAAATTTTTTAAATACTTGCCATCCTGAGGATTTACCCCCCTTCCTGACCAGGCCTCTTTTTGCTATTCGGCGCTGCACTATTTCAACTGATAATTGTGCGGTCATGCAATGCTGTATCCAAACAAAATTTATGTCCTTTTTTTCACACAAATAGAGCTTTCTTTCAGTGGTATTTGATCACCTGTGCTCTCTTTATTTCTCACGCTATAAACAAAAAAAGACCGAAAATTTTGAAGAAAAACGATATTTGTTACTTTGGCTATAAAAAATATGTAGTAAACTGAAAGTTAGTCATAAATTTAGGCCAAAATGTATTCTGCTACATGTTTTTGGAAAAAAATCCCAATAAGTGTATATTGATTGCTTTGTGTGAAAGTTATAGCGTCCACAAACTATGGTATAGATACTGCAATTTACGCGATTGTTTTGCTATACAGCGCTGCACTAGTTTAACTGAGAACTGCGTGGTCATGCAATATGGTACATATATGAAATTTACATCCTTTTTTCACACAAATAGAGTTTTATTTTGGTGGTATTTGATCACCTGTGTGCTTTTAATTTTTGGCGCTATAAACAAAAAGTTTGAAAAAAAAACAACAACTATATTTTCTCATTTCTGTCATAAAAAATATCCAAAAAACTAAAATTTCATCATAAATTTAGGCCAGAATGTATTCTGCTAGTCTTTGGTTAAAAAATCCCAATAAGTGTATATTGATTGATTTGTGTGAAAGTTATAGCATCTACAAACTGTGGTATAGATAATGGAATTTACACAGCTTTTACTTTCTGACTGCCAATCACATTTCTTGAGGTGCTAAAATACCAGGACAGTACACACACCCCCAAATGACCCCTTTTAGGAAAGTAGGCACCATAAGCTATCTGCTGAGAGGCATATTTTTTACATAAAGTTGTCATTTAAATTTTATTTTTTTTCGCACACAAGCCATGGGTATATGTGGAATTACACCCCAAAATACATTCTGCTACTTCTATAAAATATGTGGATACAACATGTGTAAGAATTTTTGGGAGCCTAGCCACATACAGGAGCCTGAAATCAAATGACCACTTTGAAAGCCTGAAGGTGCGTAACTTCCTCGTTTCACCTCCTCACTACCTATCACATTTTTAGAGGCCCTGAAATGCCAGGATAGCACCAAACCCCCCAAAATGACCCCTTTCTGGAAAGTAGACACCCCAAGGAATTTAAAAAGAGGCATGGTGAGTATTTTGCAGATCTAATTTTTTTTTCACAAGGCTTTTGAAATATAA